TTTTATAGGTTTTCAGCGGGAGCGAGTTTTATCTGTTTTTGTAATTGGCGTGTTACGTCAAGTGTGAATTTGTCCAAAACTCGATCCAACCATGTCAAAGCGAGCTGAACCTGGTGTTGACAAGTTTTGAGTCGGTAACTAGTATTAGCTTTAGTGTTTTCATTTTGTTTTTTCCTTTTGTTTGAGAAAGACAATTGAACCCAAATCCATGGGTATCCAACCTAATTTGAAAAGATCCAGAGAAGCTACTTCATTATGCAAAAGGATCAACTACTAGTCATATAAATTGAAACATTGGCGTCGTGAAAGAAGTTTAAACATAAAATAATCTATTCCACTACCATCTAACTTATACAAGTTCATCGACCATATATGCTATTGTAAATAACAAACCTATGAAAAGAATGATTAAGAATGAAATAATATTACTTTAACTTTTGGGTCAACATTAAAACTATTACTCTTTAAAATATTTATTTTTATAATACGCGAATTGATAGCGAGCGGACTTTTGCTACTATACTCAATAGTCAATACAACTATATGCCTACAAAAAAGATGTTAAGCAACCCACCTAAAGAAAGATCTATTATTCGAACTTCTTCGATGTTTAAAAAGGTGGAAAACAATATTTCTCCAAATTCACAACTACTAAGTGGGAACAACAATCTACCTCACGTCCTCACCTTATATATGCTTGGAGAATGGAGATTCGACGTGACCTTCAATTCCAGAGGTGTGACAGCCTTTCCTAGTTTCCTTCACAGGAAGTCCGATCATCCAAAAAGCAGAACCAAACGAGAAAGTGCAACTCACTTGACCTCAGCCAGCATTCCTCAAATGCAACTTCTTCACCAACCCAGAAATAAACTCCTCCATATAACTCCTATACTCCTCCATCCCTGCGACCTTACCAGCAATCTCCAACCCAACACCCATCCACTTCTTCCCCACCTCAACCCGCCCCAACTTCAAGGGCACCACTGCCCTATTCCAAGCCGTCGTCGCCAGCCACCTCCCTTCCTCCGTAGGGTACTCCCCTTCCTTCAACCCGACCATGATCCTATACGCCTGCTTGTACATTCCCTGCACAGCCTCATCGTCGTCGTAATCCTCCTTGTGAAAGCTCACCACTCCTATCAGTCTCCTCACCACGACCGCAATTTCGGAGTAGTCCGGGGAAGGGAGGGACAGGAGGGATGAAAGGGACTGGTTCAGAGCAAAGACAGCTACCTCACGGTTGAGCAGTGGAGGTTCGGATGCTGTCAGCCCGATCTGGAGGAGGTCCCTTGGATTGCAAGCTTTTGAGGCAGCGAAGGCCTTGACTAGGTCGAGTTGTTGTTGTTGGTGGGTTGCTTGGTCGTCAAGCATTATCCTTCCGTGGATTTGGTAGGCGTTGAATGTGTACATGAACAAGACTTGAGATTCCATATCTCTGATCTCATCAGCATCGAATCCAGTCCCCACAGAGATTGTAGCAAGCATCTGGACCAAAAACATGGCAGCAAATGAGAGTTATGTTTTCTGAATGATGTATCTGATTTTTAGCTAAGTGAAACTTCTGAAATTTGTTAACTGTAATGCATCATACCTTTCCGGCTCTATCCAGAAGTTCAGCAGCTTGTTTTATGTCGGAGTTCGACAATGGAGTCTGCGTTTGAATCTCTGACCCCATCATTGCAGACACTGTTAGTATCAAAGATTTGCAGACCATGATCGCTTGATCACCAGATGTATTCTCGCAAAATTGAGATACCAATCTCAAAAATTCGGCACACGGCTGATACTCCTTCGCTTTACCGCATCGAGTCCCGAGATTCCAACAAGTGACTGCAAACCAATTCTGCTCTCTTTTACCAACCTCATCTTTCCCATAAAAGCACTCGTTCCCTAACTTGGAAGCCCTCGAGTGACCCCACTTCATGTACTTGAGGACTTCTTGCTCGTTGCCTGGTTCTTGACTGAGGATGGTCACTAAACTGCGGAGGACAACTACTTCTGTTGCTGGCATAGGATTTCCTGACGTGTAGCAATCGAGTAGATTGGATAAAGAAGATGCAGCTACTTGGAGTGCGCGAGAAGCGATGGCTTCGTGGGACGCAAGACAAAGGAACTCTGGAGTGAAATCCAGGCATGATCTCATGGTCAGGATTTGATTAATGGCACCAGTTTGGTCGTTCATTAGCAGTAAGACCTTGAACTGCAAAACCCACAAGCACACATTAAAATCAAAGCATTAGAACTAGTTGAATTGGAGCTTTTGTGAACAAGAGAGAGAGAGAGAGAGAGAACCTTGAGAAATGCACAGGCTATGTTGGGATCGAGCTGCAAAATAAGGGACAAATGAAAACTAGTTAAATTGACGAGCTTTATTAGAAAACAGAACCGCCAACAGTGTATTAACATACCTTTTCAGCCTCAGTGATATACTCATGAGCTCGATCAAGCTCAGAGACACCGAGGTAGCAGAGACACAAAACTCTGAATCCTTTTGCTCGGAGTATTCTTCTGTCGATTTCATGTGGAACATATAGCAATGATTTCTCAAACATCTCAGCAGCCATCTTATAGTCTTTCGATCTGAAGTACTCCGAAGCACTACAAATCAAATATTAATAACCTAATCTGTCAGCATTCCTGAACATTATTTGATTAGTTTCAAACATGTCAAAACAACAAGCTAACAAAATGTCGTCTCTGAGATATTAAAAGGATAACAATCTAAGATCACGACGAGCAAGCTTATCATCGGCTAGTAACACCAACCAATAACTGTGATAACTAAAACAAACAATTTAAGCATTCCAAAAGAACCCAAGAAGTTCGATCCAACCAAATGAACAAATAGATAGCATATAGTAAGCATTCCATACTGCAGGACACAGGACCACCCCCACCATGGATATACTATGCTTGCAAGAGCTTGAATTGAAACTACTCTCGTATTCATTTCAGGAGAAAAAGGAAAGAGTGATGATTACCAGTTCCATAGAATGGCATGCATTGTTCCGATCTCTTTGGCAGCTGTTTGGCCGGAGAAGAGAGCCACCACTCTCTCATCGGAAACCAGCTCCAATACTACTTGAGCTCTCACCTTAGACCCTTCCCCACCAGCTCCATCTCCGATTACCCTATGAGCCAATCTAACTGCAGCATTAGCACTCACATGGCACCTCCCAAGCAACCCCAAGAACACAGCCTTGGCAGTCTCCGCCCCTGCAGTACCAGCTGCCTCAAAATAGGCCTCAATTGCAGACACCCAAACAGATTCAGGAACTCCCTTGTTCGTAACCATACCCCTCAGCTCCTTCTCCGCTTCCTCATACCTCCTTAACCCTAACCAAGCCTTCATCGCCAGAACAGGAAGACTCGCATGATGATCACCTCTCTCGCCACCGCCTTCTCTCAATACCTTGACGCATTTGATCACGCTCTCGAACTCTCCCTTTTGTAAATGCACGGCGGAGATGAACCGGAGAGCTTTCACTTTCAACTCCCTGAGCTGCGAAACTTGCTCCCTCGTCCTCGCTACACCGGATCCTTTCTCACAGAGATCTAAAGCTTCGTTCATCAACTTCAACGCTTCGCTGAAAGCGTTGCCGTCATTCGCCGACAACGCGCTTTTACCAAACGACAAGTACTGATTGGCTAGGGATTTGTAGTGATCCGGAGCTCCGAAGAGCAGCGACTTCGCCCTATTGAGAAGCATCACTGCGAGATTCCGATCGGAAACCTGCCAGGCGGTTCGAGATCTGGCGAGATTTATCTCCAGAAACAGCTTCCTCTCCCCGGAGTCGGACACTCTGGAGAGATCGATTTTCGCGACGATCTCCGTCGCCGTCTCCAAGCAAGCGGAAGCGAGATCGAACTTACCGAGATCGTGCCATATGACGCCGGTCTTCTGGTAGAAGGAGGCGCACTTGATCTCCGGAGACGGCACTCCGTCGACTTCCTTTGCAAGGCAGAGCATATCCGCCGCGGCATGGCGGAGCTTGGCGTGGTGCTCGGTGACAGACGCGGAAGATGAACTGCGGATGGTGAGGGAATTCGAGATGTCAACGCAGGCGTTCCAGAGGCGGTGGCTGAGCTTCCAGATTTGAAGCTTGACGGAATTGGGGAGAGGGAGGAGTTGAGGGAAGTGAGCTAGGGCTTGGCGGAGGTCGGCGGAGAGACCCTCGGGTAAGGAGTTGGCCGTAGAGGTTGAGATGGTTTCCGTTCGTTTGATTAGGGACTCGATGTGAGAGAGGAGGAGTTCGTGTTTGTGATCCGGTGCCGGCGATGGAGGAGGAGGTGTAGGAGTTGGAGAATCGAGGTTTGGTTGCCGAGGATCCTGGGAGCAGATCTCGGCGATCCTCATTTTGTTTGGCGGGAAATCCCTGAGTGCGAGAGAAGAGGATCAGAGAAGTTTTTTTAAAAAAATTTGAACTAAGCGAGAAGGCCGGGAGGGGGACCATTTAGACTACCAGTAGACAGTTCTTAAGGCCAAGCTTGGCATGAAGACCCATTTTGTTCGCTTGGACATTGGCTTTCCCTTTATTGATCTTTCCGGATGGGAAGGAATGCATCTTCCTCCGGTTGGCGCCCAACACACTTCAGGCCGATCATTCGCGAAAACGAGCAAATGAATGCACCATTCTGTGCATTATATAATAGCATTCACCAAACAGTCGAAAGATTGTTGGTGGTACTCTTGAAACTCGAGTGAGCGGAGACCACACATTCCGCCAATAACACCCAATTTTGTACCTTACCATGCTCGATCACCGCTCGTATAACGATGATGGTGCCGATCCAGCCTGGTAGCCACACAGGTTGGCACCAAAGTAACTAATCCAAATCCATCCCCGAAAGCAACTCAAAGGTCACTCAACACCAACCCCATCAAACAGGAAACCATGCCTATCGAGAAGAGGCCATGCCACAGGAGCATTAGCGGCCAAGTAGTTCGTCCACATTCAGCAAGATTGTCATCCTCAGCTTCAATCAAAGCTTGACTAATTAACAAGGGCACAGATTTATTTCTCGCTTTCAATCAAAGCTTGACTAATTGATAGGTAGTACAAACCATTACGAGTACATGCATGAAGGTTCTGCCAGTAACCAGTAGCAGACAGACTCAAAAACCTCAAGAAGTTGTCAAATAGGATGACAAACCAAACCAGGCAACAGAGGCAGTAGCATACACAGGAAAGAAAGTGCATATATTAGAGTATCATCAAGTTATCACTGGTACAGTAAATTAAAACATTAACATGAGAGTAGAGTTTTCCTTCTTGTTCCGTCTTTTTTTCTTTTTCTTTTTCTCAGAGGGGTCTTGATTCAGATTCTAAGCTCAATATTACAACAACAAAAACAAGAAATAGCTGAAGGGTTAAGGCTAACAGTTAAACAAGAGGTTTCAGTGTCACCTTTTATCCGCCATCCTTTTTTTATACCCGATTAGTGAAGATATGTGGTCTGATACTGGTACCCATTTCCGAAGTAGTTGCCATGAGACGGACTGAAGTTGTAAGGTGCAGCAGGGATCAACTGTGGCGCCATATGGTGGTTGTCAGCAGGTGCTTGGTAGACATAAGTGTACTGCGGATATCGATCAGGGACTCTTGGGGGATAGAATGTCCTGTCAGAGACAACGTTACTGGTGGTGGTGGCGGAGCGGGGACCACCACAACCAACACCATTGGCACGTGGCCTCTTGGATTGCGGCTTTGGAACTTCGGTTCCCCTTTTCTTTTCTGCTTTCACCTTCTCCAACTGAAGGAGGCGCTTCTGAAGTGGCTCCAGGGGATACTGCTCCTCGAGCTTGTGCTCTTCGATACACTTGATAACAGCTTTAAGAGCAGCGAGCTCCCGGTCGTTCACCTCATTCTGAAATCAAAACACAGGCCAAGGTTTTTAACTATCTACTATTACTATCGTTGCAAATCAAAACCACATCCAACCCCAGCCATTTGCCACCTATAATGTAGGTCTAATAGCAAAACGTAGCAGAGAGATTGAATTTATCAAGTTAAAGGGAGAAAGAGAGTAAGAACCTGCACAGGGCAAGCTGCATTCCCAGGTTTAGCTGGTAGAGAAGATCTCTTCGCATCCTTCAAGTAAGACTTCAGTAGAGGTACAGGTGAGAACTGATCGGTTAACTCGAAAGCAAATGCCAAGTTCACTGCATCAATTTGTCTACCACTGTTTACCAAAACTTCAATTACCCCTGAAGAGTCAAAAGAGGTCAGCAAATTAAAACCAGAGAGAGCTAGCTACCTGAATACAAAAACAAGTCATACCCAACTCTAAAGTGATCTATTTTCAATAGCTGCAGCTTTTTTCAGAAAGCATTTATCTAGGATGAGAGGCAAAGGCTATTTATTTATGTCATACATAGACACCAGGACTGATTATATTACAACTCCAGGACCAAAGAACAAGTGTAACACTAGGATAATTCCACATGCTAAACTATAATAAATAACCAACACATCTTTCAGTGTGCAAGCAGAAGAGAGAACCTGGCATTTTGTCAGACAGTCCAAGAAATCGACAGAGCTCAGCTGCTTGCCGGCGACGAGAGACCATTGGAATGAGCCTAGAGAGCTCTTCCACATCAAAATCAGAAGCAATGCCAAAGCTGGCCAGAAGTTGCAGAAATGCATGTGCCTCCAAGGAATTCCCATTGCTTGCATCCAAGTCCAGAGCTTCCAACTTAGGTTTCCAAATCTCAGCAATAGCCTTTGCTCGATCTTTGACCTCATCCGAGATTACCTCAGATACAGAAACTAGATCAGAATACATGAGCAAAATGCTGAGGCATTCCATTAACATAATACACGTTCGGCGAACACCCAGTAAGATCGAATCTTTCTTCCCATCAACATGAGGGTCTTCCAAGGGATAAAAGTTTTCCAGAGAGTTCAAAACCAACTGAGCAGGTTCAACTGCAGCTTTCAAAGCAAGTGGAATCTCCTCCCTCAGAACAGCTAGGTCCTTACGGTTGTCAGATATAAACTTATGCAGCCCATCAGCATTCATCTCTTCACATAATTTGACCAGCTGAGGATAAGACACTGCCTCACAATCTTCGTCCTCGCCCGGGTTAACAATTTCACCCAAGTTACTCTCAGAAGGCATTGTATCAGATGGCTGGTCATCAAGAGGGGATTCACACAGGTCTTCACTGGCTTCAATAACAGGTTCTCCAGGAGATACTTTCCGGTGCTTATCTAAAGCATTAGTAATAGCGAACATAGCAGCATCTCTCTTCTCTTGGAGCCTCCCCAATGAAGCCTGTTCCTTGGCTTTAACAGCAGCTTCCCGCTTCTCCAGAGCTTCCTGTGCTTGCCTCGTCTTGGTCTCGTACTCCTTCTCTTGGTCTTCCAACTCGTGAAACCTCCTCTTCAAGGATCTCTCGAGCCCGTGAAAATGCTCCTCGAGTTCTTTCCACTTCAGGTTGAGAGTTACAGCTCGGTGGCTTTCGAGCTCAGCAAATGCCTTCTGGAGCTGCTGTATCTTGCAGGAGGTAGAATCCATGAGTGTTCCAACTGGTTCGGTATCTTCCATTAGCTGATAACCTAGAGATCATGAAGAGGATTAAACAAAACAACCCAAAGGTAAGTGAACCCACCAAATGAATTCCCCAGCGCAAGTGTCCATATCTAATTCTCATCCCCTAAATTGGTTGCAACAAAGCATCTATAATGCAGAAATGACAGATCAGAGATACCCAGCCAAGCAAAGCAAGTGAAAATACTCAGCCACTTGGTAAGAATCACCAACGTGATGCGGAAACAACAAACAGAAAAAGACAACCCCCACAGAAGCTGCAACTCTAAACTACAGGGAAATCCTCCCGAAAGCCAACCATTTCACTAAAAAATCACCTCCAATCACCAGTTACGAACTACCGGGAAATTCCAGCAAAAATGGCGCAATATAGAAAGGAAGGAACCAACCCGATCTGGAGAAATAGAGCCAGATAAAACTCGGACGAAACGAGTTCAGGATGGCAAAGCAACTCACCTTACCAACTCGAGCTAAGAAAAACTGCAAGAAGAGAAGTCAACACAAACTGCGAGAAACTCGACAGCTGAGAGGATCAATCCATGGCGGAACGAGTTCGCTCAGATCGGGCTGAGTCCGCGGGTTCTACTCTGCAATCCCTAGAGCAAGCGATAAGGAATGGGAGAGAGATTGAGCGAAGAAGAAAAAGGCAAGTCCTCCCGCAGCAGTGTGATATCGCAGCCCTCCTTGCTTTTTCGCTTTTTGGTGGAGCACTCTCGTTCTGGCCGTAGATCATCCTCCTACGACTGCGTTTTGGGGAGGAGTGGCCAAAAAGCTCTCCAACGTGGGTTGCTCTGACAAAAACACGGCTGTAAAGAGCAATTTGTACAGAGCTTTGACGGGAGGGAAAAAGGTGAGAATGTTTCTGGAGAAAGGATCCAATCCTAGGCCCAATTCGCTAATGCAGTTTCAGCCCGTAAATAGTCCATTTATTTATTCAGTCCAGCCCGTTTATTTATTTAACTAATTGTCAGTCTGGTCAGAATTGCTGCGTTGAATTTGTTTTCTTCAAGATCACTATTAACTTTGAACAATTTCTTTCTGATAATTAGCTTTGACCGAATTCAAATCATGGTCAATTGGTCATCATGTTAACTTTGCAGATAAGCATTAAATAGAGAGAGGAATTATTATTATTTATATTATTATTATGATTTGTTTTTACTTTTGTTTTATATTTTGGTAACTAGTGGAAAACAGAACAAACAAAGGTCTACAAAAAAATAGCTTATTTTCTCTCTAATTATTATAGTTTCAAACGGCTTGTGGGCGACCAAAGTATGATTTTCTTTTCGAAACTCTAGATTTTTTATTTATTAGCAGGACTCGTGCGAAGAGTTGACATCATATGAAGAGGTTATTTTACTATCTTGGAGTATAGTTCCTATCAGGTTTTGGATTCCCTCTCGAAACAAACGGACAAAGAATAGGAGGTCTTTTATAGATACGCAAGGTTTTTTCTGTGATGTTTGCATACATCGTCACACATAGGTATAGTTTTGGTGAGCACACAAAGATATTTTGTTGGGTCTTTTATAGATACGCAAGGTTTTTTCCGTAAGGTTTGCATACATCGTCACACACATAAGTATAGTTTTGGTGAACACACAAAGGTTTTTTGTTGGGTTTATTCCAGTCGAGATGGTGGACCAAAATATTCCACGGAAGAAAAAAGAAAGGAGAGCATCACTAATGAGCCTATTCATTATTCATGATAGGGGAAATATACGAGTGCAACTGGATAGGAACCTGCAGGCAGCGGTGTACAATTATATGGTTTCGTGTCAGACCACACGGGATCAAATAGATATTTAGATTGGACCATATGAAATTGAATATAATGCGGTTTAGTGACCCTTGATTCCATAAATTTTACAAATACTGGAAAAAATGGACCCAAATGATATTTGAATCCTACCGAACTGACCTAAATGAAATGATAATCCAATATCTTTTTATGAATTTATACTTACACTATGAAGAATGGAAGATGCACAAAGTGTGCATCCCACAAGAGAGGCAAAGAGAAATAAATGTCATAAGGAACACAGAACTTATAAGACACCTCCAAACCCAAAAAAAGTTTTTTGGATGAGTAATTCTAACATATCAATTTGACCTAATAGTTTCGTTTTAGGATAATTCTAGCTGGGAAATTTCAAATTGACTCGTTTTGAACCAATTATATTTGTGTGAGGTGGGGACAAACAATTAACCATTTATCTTACTTTTCAATTAATCATCCAAACGACTCTATCTCACGATCTACAAAACAATATGACCCCATTCTTGAAATCTTATTGTGAACATTATCATGTTGCACTTGTCCACCTACCTATCATATTGCTAATTTGTACATCATCGCATTACCCCCGCCGTTCTAGATTCATAAAAACAAGTTGGTTATGTTCAATCCAAATGCACCAATATAATCTTATGCTTATTATACGAGTCATTTGGTTTTGGTGGTGGTTAAATTAATGTATTGTGAACAATACGTGTATAATATGATAAACATAATTAAGAAAATTTGTGTATTGTAGTTTACATTGTTTGATTTTTTTTAATTATTAGAAAAAATATATTACTTTTTGGAAGAAATATCATGTTTACCCTTTGTTTTTAATCCAAAAGAAACAACACATACAAAATTGGGGTATAGTTGGAATAAAAGAAAACTAACAATCTCACATAAACTATCTCAACTAAAACATGAGATTTAACTATCCTTCATTTTTTGTGATAATTTATATCACATAAACAACTAAAACATGATATTGAACTATCACTCATTTTTTTATTGATAGTTTACATCACATAAACAACTAAAACATGAGACTTAACTATCACTCATTTTGAGTTATAGTTTATGTCACATCAAACAACAATGCTTGTATGCATATAAAATTCAAAAGAACGATGGATTGTGAACAATACAGGTATTGTAACTAGCTCAACCAACCTGTTGACTCGCTAAAACCAACAATCTAACTAGTGGCCAAGTGTAACCACAGACTAGGAAGTATTACAGTGGAATGAAATTCTAAATGTCAACCCGGAGTTCCTAGATGCAGTATTACTAAGTGCAGCAATCTATTATTTAGCACCAAGTTTTAGTGAAGTTTACTAAATCTAAGGGGACAAAACAAAGAAAGTTTATACGATTTCAATTATGAGAAAGATCACTTTGGTATGTGTCATGCTAGCCTATAGTTAGGTCAAAGTTGCAATTTTCTTAGTTCATGACACTGATAATTATACTGCAGAAAACCTGATAATATTTTAGAATCTCGACTAAAGCAGACTAAGCCTTCTTAGATAGATTAATCAACGTGAGATTATCCACAACTGGACTAAATGTCAAGGAAATGCAATAATACCTCCTTTACTGGACTGGATTCCCATACAAAGTAGTGAAATCGATTCACTACTTTCAATCGAAGTTGCTCTCTTAACCTAAGAAGATGTTATCTCTCTTAGGTTAAAGCATAAATCGAAAGAATGTGATCAAGACTCAATCGATTATGAATAATGTCCCAGTTGAATATAATAAATCATTTCAACAATCCAAGGGGTCATACAATCATTATCCTAACATTGAAAACCAAGGTCCAGGGTTCTTCATGCCCAAGTGAAGAGGGAGTTTACTCAATGGAGAGAGAGGAGAACACAAAGGCTGCAGTAGAGATCATCGTGCTACGGTGAAAATATGCTCTAGGTCGTCATCCACCACTCCAACGGGATGAATCAAACTCCAATGGTCAAAGGGATGCTCAAATCAACTCCAAGGGTGGACTTTTCGTCATTTTCTCTCTAGAACTCTCTTAGATCGTTTTCTGATCAAAGATATCGAACCCTAATAAAAAGTCAGAAAATCCAATTTATTCCCGTTGTTGGTCATTCCCCGATCGTTGAATAGGTTTCCAGAGCGTGTAACACCAAAAAAACAATGGGTCACATGATTTTAGCAAGGTGAATTCCACGACTAAGCCTTCTATTCCATAACCGTGGAATGTCATCTATTAGGTGGGGGAACTCTCTGTTTGTGCTCCATGGTTGTAATTGGAGATACACGGTCGCAAAACAGAGTTCCAAGACCGTATATTTTAGCTCTTCATCCTCCAAGCCCCGTCCATTCTCCAATTGCCCCAAAACTTGCTCATAAGCCCCTCATTCACGTTCTATGACCCGAAACATCACACATAGGCACAACCTGGCGTAAAATCGGCTTAATATGCAAGAATTTGGTCTCAAACGATCAACAAATAAGGGAATAAATATGTGTATTTATGGTGCTATCACCTATCACCAAAGCCAAATGGTCATTAGATCGCGTTTCACATGGTTAGTCCGGTGAGAAATTTGTATCTCAAATCCAATTCATTATGCACTTGTCCATAAGTTCAATATTTGCTAGCCGATTTTATCAGAGTAAAACCTTATGGATCCGTGGATTTTAAGAGTCCAAAATCCAAATATATGGACAACACGAACTTGCCAATCCTTAGTTGGAAATGAGATTTGGGCGAGGCCAAAAAATCATTGTACCAACAAATATAACCTAGCAGAACCAATAAAAAAAATTCAATAAGCAAACAATAGAATCTTTCAAATCCATAATGCTAACAAATCCATCATAAATCAAATATTTGTCAAAACCAATGTTTTATCAAAACTCTCATTTTTCAAATTCATGAAGTAAACAACGCCAAACTCAATGTTCAAACTTCCCAACCACAATATAATAGCTCAGTTTGGCCCTGCGGTAGCTTTTGCAAAAGCAACTTCTGGCTCGAGCTTTTAGAAAAGTACTTTTCAAAAAAAGCAGTTGAGTGTTTGGTTGAAAAACTATTAAAAGTGCTTTTTAATATGAGAGGTTAGGTAAAATGACTATAAAGGACTTATAATATAAAGTATGAATAATAATTCTAAACAATAAAATGTAGTCAAAATGGATCTTGTTAGACTTCTTTTATATTATATAATATGATTTTATAATTTATTTTATTTTTAAAATGATATAAATGAAAGAAAATTATATTTTCTGAAATAAAGTAAAAATATGGTAAGTATAATCTTGTATTTTCAAAAGCTTTTCGCAGAAGCTCTAAATCGTAGCTTCTGCTTTATGTTATACAAAAGCGTTTTTCGGCTTTTCAAAAGCCAAACTTTTAGAGGTGTTTGGCCCTGCTTCAGCTTTTGAAGCCGAAAAGCACTTCTAAAAGCCGGGCCAAACATAGGCAATATAGCTTTAATTAGTTTCTATGAGCTTATTTGAAAATATACAATTAATATCTTAATCATACGTATTTAAAAGAACACAAGGGCTCGTTTGGAGAATTGGAGTTTAAATCTATAGATTCTAGACAATCCAAAGATTTTAACTCTCTGGATTGTTGAAAAAAGATTTGAAAATGTTCATTGCTTGGTAACTACGATTGCTAACATCCAATGAAAAAAGAAATTCAATTTTTTATATTAAATGATATGTTTATCCTTAACTAAAATAATTAGATTGGCTCGAAAACTATTGAGAATTTATTGGAGAGGGTATTTAGTGGGATAAATGAAAAAAAGAAGAGATATAGTAGGAGAAAGAAAATCTCCAAAATCAAGATGTAGAATCTCTTTAATTATGAGAGATTTGATATCTCTAGATTTTAGAGATATAAAATCTCTGAAGCTACAATCCACGATACAAAAAGTAACAAAAAAACATAATATTTTACTAAATATATTGATTCAATAAATCCATGATCCAAATCTTGTTCTCCAAACGAGCCCAAGTACAATTACATAGGGATATCAATGGGTTTGGGTGGGACCGGTTTCCTATATACCATCTGCGAACCAGGATTTAAAATAATAAACATGCCCAAAAAAAATTAGGAGATGATTTAGTGGAAATCACTCTGCAGTCTGCACCATCCCTAGCTAATCTTATATAAAGTTGTTGATATAAAGTGAAATTTATCTTAGAATGTTGATGTTTACAAAAGTGAGGGGAAATGAGTAAACAATGTTGTCTAAGAGATAATTATCATACTTGAGAGATGAATTATCATAAGTGGGGAAATGAGCTACAAAGCCTAACCCAAATTGTTACATATGTTTAGCTGAATTTGGGGCGAATACTTAAAATATAGCAAACGCACACCAAATTTATCATCCTTTTTATTGAGTTAAAAAAATTCGCACCAACTAATTATCATCTTTATTGGGTTCGGAAAAAAATCCACAAGAAAACAACACTTATTAATGTTTTTGAGAAAATCGATTTAATACCCATTTTCATGAGTTATTTTATCATCCTATAATCAATTATTATTCAAATCAGAAGCCATTCATTGTTCCCCGGAAATTATTGGGAGGACGGCAACAGCAGCCTGCAATAAGTCAAACAATGGGAAAAAGTAGAAACATTTCACATTGTTTATAACTAATTCATTCAATTCAATTTTAATTAGATAAAGGTTCGATTGATCCCATTGTTATTACGGGTTCAACTACAAAAGGGTGTGTGGATTTGTTTGGACTCGATTTGCCTTTACCTTACCAAAGGATTTTGGAATGGGCAAGAAATGGCTGTAGACTGTGAGTTTGATTAATTAGAAATCAGTGATACTAACCTAAGGAATACTGATATAAATATCATATGGAAAAATGTAATCAAGAACCGGTCCAAACTCCATTTCCAAGGGCCAAGGGGTAAGACTCAAACCACCAATATTATGGTCCAACTGACCATCTAACTTGAAACTTATCCTAAACGAGCGAATAAGGGTTTGGCCTAGCAATAATATCGCTAATTTTGAATTTGAAGATATCGAGTTTGAATTTTTCCAGTAACACCTAACTATAAAAATTAACTTATATCACACGGAAATACTTGCTACTAACTATAAAAATCAACTTAGACATCAAGTTCTCTAAATTTGAATTTTTTTCGTTTGCTTTAAATACAAGTACTTGTACAGTTGTACTTCTGCCAGGGGTAACACTCTGGTTTTATGCTTTTATGCCTTTTCATTGGACAACAAGTACACAGAGAAATACTTGCCCCCATTACATGCAGAAGTGGTACATGCACCCTTGGTATAGAAGACGAAGTCTCCCCGATAATGGTAGCACAACGCCGGTATAGAAGACAAAGTCCTTGATGTGCAGGTACCCTAGGTTTAGTAGACCCTTATGTCAGCCTGTCACTCATGTGACACGTGGGTTTTTTTTTCTTGAGTTATAAAAAAAAGTATATATATAATGATTTTATATTAATTGTAATTTTATATTTTATTTAAATTTGGATGTTTATATTATTTGTTGACTTTGAAGTTAAACGTTATATTTAAATGTGATGATTTGTCATCTTATTGCTAATGTTGTATTTTAATTAAATATGAATGAAGATTGTATTGAAAGTTGAGATAGATTTTATGCAAAATTCATTGTTAATAATTTTTACTTTTCTAATATTTGATTAAAATCGATATAAATCAATTTTAAGAACCTTGGAGAGTAGAGGTGGCAAATGGATTGATCCATGGATTGATGGATTGGATTGGTGGATCCATGGATCAAATGGATTGGATTCAATGTATTTGATCATGTGGATTAGTGGATTATCCATGAATCCAAATGACATCCTCAACCAAGGACCAATATGTAAAATGTGAAAATTTAGGTACTAAAATGTAATACTGAAAAATATAGGTACCAAAACGTAATTTTTCAATGATATTTTCGTATAAAAAAATAAATTTTCAGTACCAAATATAAATTATAAAAAGTATAGGTATCAAACTATAATTTGCCATTTGAATCCATGGATTAATTCATGAATCCACCAATCCAATTGAACTTGAATAAAATGAATTGAATTAGGTGGATATTTTTAATTAGTTGGTGAATTGGATTGAGAATTGCAACCTTAGAAAGTGTAAATGGAAAAATTGGGAAAGATGGTGGGGAGATGAAGTCAAGCAAGGCCCTCAAAAGTCATCGCGCCTCTCAGCAGTCCAGTCTTCGGCCAAAAAACAATTGGCCATAAACCCCACCGAAAATTCACAGCCAGCGGCAACTATTGTCATTCCTTTGACCCGATGAAGATTTTGAATGGTTCTTCACTCTTCTGAATCCTTCCCATTCATTCTTCCCTTTCACACCCATCGGCCATCGCCCATACATACATCCATTTCCTCTTCTTTTCTTCTACCTTTACAGTTTCAGTCGTGAACTTAGAATTTTCCACACCTCCTTCTCTAAACGGCTGCCGGCGTCTTCTTTGGCAAATTAACACGACCATTGCAGAGTTCCTCCATCAAAGTTTTGTTCTTGGATCGGATTCCCAGCTCGGGGTTCTTCATAGCTCAGGTGGGTCTTCGTTTTATCCTTCTCCTACTGAATTCTGTAGACACTTTAGGTCGTCGATCATGGTGAATTTCATTTCTGGAGTTAGTGCTGTTGCCTCTATGCTCGTGGATTAGATTTGATCCCTTTAAATGTTCATCCAGAACTTGCTTAACTTTTCCATCTTTCCATGCTGAATTTGCTTCAGGGGTTTTGTATGATTGTTTGATTGGAGGGTTGGAGTGTTCGTGGTGGTACTTATGGATCCGAGAAGCTGAGAAATGGATGGTTGAGCAGCTTCTCTGACCAAAACTCATTTGGTTTCCCCTTTCAACACGATGATCAAGAGTCGAATAATCGAGCTTTATATTGGGGTCTTGGTGTGGTTGCTATTGAGTGTTAAGTTTAGCCATGGAGTTCAGTCTGATATTGATTGCTTGAGGAGCATAAAGGAGTCTCTCCAGGACCCTTTCAATTATCTTGGCTCGACATGGAACTTCAACAACAATACCGAAGGCTTCATCTGCAAGTTCACTGGAGTAGACTGCTGGCATCCAGATGAGAACAGGGTCTTGAACATTCGCCTCTCGGACATGGGTCTCAAAGGCGAGTTCCCTCGTGGCCTTAAGAACTGCACAAGCATAACAGGCCTCGATCTCTCGAGCAATGAGCTTTCAGGACCTATCCCTGACAATATAGCTTCAATTGTAAACTTTGTAACCAGTCTTGACCTCTCGGGAAACAAGTTATCAGGTTCAATTCCGGCAAACCTTTCGTTTTGCAGTTATTTGAATGAGCTGAAACTGGACCATAACCAGCTAACTGGTCAGATACCTGGAGAGATTGGCAATTTGAACCGGCTCAGGATTTTTAGTGTTGCCAACAACCAACTGTCTGGTCCTGTCCCGAGGTTTAGAAATGCCTCCACCAGTATTAATGCAGATAGTTATGCGAATAATCCGGGGCTTTGTGGGCCGCCTTTGGAGCCATGCTCTGGTGTCACAAAGAAGTCACACGCCGGAGCTATCATAGGGGGTGCTGTTGCCGGGGCAACCGTGGTAGCGATCGGGGTGGTAATTTGTTTGTTGCTCTATCTCCGTAAGGCGGGTGTTATTAAGAGTAAGAAGGATGATGATCCTGAAGGAAATAAATGGGCGAGGAGCTTAAAGGGAATCAAAGGCACAAAGGCAAGTTGTACTAACACATATTTCTTAGAAATCATTATATATATCAGAGAATACAATGTGATTTTTGTTCTCTTTTGCCATTTCTTCTAGTTATTTTCTTCTTACCGAGTGACAGATAGTTTGGGCATTTCCTTCAGGTTTCCATGTTTGAGAAATCAGTCTCCAAGATGAAACTGAATGACCTGTTGAAAGCAACTAATAACTTCCACAAGGACAACATCATTGGTTCTGGGAGAACCGGGACTATGTACAAAGCACTTCTCGAAGATGGGACCGCGCTCATGGTTAAGAGGTTACAGGATTCTCAGCGCTCCGAGAAAGAATTTTTGTCAGAAATGGCTACTCTGGGGAGTGTGAAGCATCCCAACCTGCTCCCACTTTTAGGATTCTGCATAGCCAGCAAGGAAAGGCTTGTTGTATATGAGAATATGGATAATGGTAGCCTGTACAACTACTTGCATACTGAGGATGAAGACAGAAAACCAATGGAATGGACTCTTAGGCTGAAAATTGGAATAAGGGCTGCAAAGGGATTCGCCTGGCTCCATCATAATTGCAATCCACGCATCCTGCACCGAAACATCAGTTCTAAATGCATCATGTTGGATACCAAGTTCGAGCCAAGGATATCTGATTTCGGTCTTGCGAGATTGATGAATCCAATCGATACCCATTTGAGCACGTTTGTGAATGGAGAGTTTGGTGACCTGGGTTATGTAGCACCTGAGTATGCTCGAACCCTGAGGGCAACCCCTAAGGGAGATGTGTATAGTTTTGGGATTGTCCTCCTCGAGTTGGTGACCGGTGAGAAGCCTACACATGTGAGCAGAGCCCCAGAGGGTTTCAGAGGAAATTTGGTTGACTGGGTAGTTGAGCTATCAGCGAAAGGGCAACTCCATGACGCCATTGATCAGTCTCTACTTGGGAAGGGAGTCGAGAAGGAGGTTTTCCAGGTACTGAAAGTTGCTTGCAACTGTGTGGTGGAAGGTCCCAAAGAGAGGCCTTCAATGTTCGAGGTGTACCAGCTGTTGAGAGCAATTGGGGAGCAGTATCAGTTCACGGCGGAGGATGAGGTCACATTGCCTATTGACGGTGGTGATGCTGACTTCATCGAGGAATTGATCGTTGCTCGGGAAGGTATCCAGAGTAGTTGACGTGGAAGAAGATTGGAGGTAGGTAGGGAAATTGGAACGAAGCCCACAGCTTGTGATGTAATTAGTATATGACATTGGTGTATGTTTGAAATAAACACTTGTGTTTAGTATGTATGAATTATTTTCCCCTCACTTTCTTCCTTTATACCATACTTCACCTTTTGTATTGAAAATGCCAGTATAGGTACAGTAACGACAGCCATTTTGGAGGAAAGCTGGGCTCTTTAGTTAAAAGTCAAAATGAGTTTTAATTATGCAGCAGCTTTGTAAGGTAAGCATCTTTTCCTATATGAATCTTGGTTGTAGCTCATTAGTGTAACTTCCATGTTTTGTCAATGGTATTGTTTGGTTAGTGGAGGAGTTTTGATGTTTTCCTTTCTGTTTGATGGATGAAGAGGTGCTGAGTAGCCTTCATAACTTACATGTCCCCTCGAGCAAAGCTTATTCTATTCTTGAGCTTCAAACTTGAGCAAGTTCATCATATATTATGCTTGAATCTCTATCAGTGGCTCAAGTTATAGGACTAACCGAAAGTTTTGGTGTCGGAAACCTGGAACTTTTCTATTGGATAACTTTGCTTCACACAGTTGAATTGCTACCATCAATTAGGAGGTGATTGAGTAGAAAAAGATGGATCGCCCCCTCTTTTACGTCGTGTCTTTTTTGTCCATCGAAGTCAACATCAAATTCGTTTTACAAAGACTTGTTCTTTTCACTTTTCCTCCATGATTAAAAATTGGCCACTAGCAAGCCAAAGCTTGACCCACCTTCTCTTGTCTTTCTTCCCAGCTTTGGAGAAGCTTTTCAGTTCTAAATTCCCACTTCTTTTTGGTCGACCTTCCTAGGTACCCAGGTTGATTGTAATAATTATTGGGTGATGAGGGTGGGGAGAGGAATTCAGGGCCTCTGTTTCTAGGAAGAAAACCCAGTAACTGCGAAAACAGAGGAATGAAGGGCCTCTGTTTCGTTCGTAGTTATATGCATCAACGTAGTTAGCTAGCTAGCGGAGCGACCAAGTATGGCTTCTGTCATGATCGCAGGAGCTTAAAGTCGTACTATTTCATGTAACGTTTTGTGCATCACCTCAAGTATATAATCTAAGCATGACTTGATATTAAAAAAAATTACCAAACCATTGAAAGATTTTTGGGGAATAACATTCTTTGAGAGACACTTTTTACCAACCTCGAATCCGAATGTATGTTATGTATAGAATAAACATATGAAATTAACCCCATTGGAGTAGCCCACGCAATCTAGTTGGTTAATAGACCTAGGAATAGGATATCTACGAATGGAAAAATGCATAGATTTTATCTCAGAGATTGGGTGTAAGTATGCCATGTTCATTGTAATTACATCCAGGGGAAAATTGCAGATGTCGACTGCTTGGTAGCACTTGCATTTATACGATTCCCTACTATGAGAATTTAGTTTATTCAGGTGCTAGAAGGTAGTTATTCTTAGTCATGGTTGCCCTTCCGCCTTGAGTTCAGATTGGTTGTGGCTACTCTCGTAGTGAAAATTAAGTGTCTAGAAGCGAATTATGCTTAGTTATAGTTATTGTTCTTACTAAAATAAATATATGCTTATGATGGTACTCGAAGCGAATATTCTTTAATGTGTTCTTCAGTAGTAGCCCCTTCCTCTTCACCAACCTTGTGTATTTCTCTATTGATTCCTATCATTCAAATGATAATCTTTTGGTGGAGTTTCCTTTTTCTCATAATATGCATTATTATATTATTGATTATGATAATGGTTGAATTCTAGATAGTATAAAGTTGCTTGCTTGATGGATAGAGATTGCTATTGTTGTCACAGCAAAAAGAGTGTATGTCGTCAGCTGGTTTCATCTTAGCTCTACGGTTGTTGATATGGAATAGGGTAAAATCAGAAAGCTAAAGCAACGAATTGAAAGATAATAGTTTGTTGTTGCCATAAAACCTTTGTATCTGTTGTGGTCTCGAGGATCCAGGTTCTTGATCAATGGTAGTTTATGTAGTCTCAAGGTACTCTGGACATTATTCTGTGGCATAAGTCCAACAGACAACAACAACTAGCTAGTTTAAGAATAAGCACCTTAATGCAAAGGAGGCTGCATTTGATAAATTCGTTGTTGCTGTGGAAGTTCGATGGGGAAGTAAATAGGTTATCAGCCACTCCTTCGTGCTTAGGTACTTATTGCTGTCTAAATCTAGATCGATTCCTTAGACTTATTGTGTATTTGTATGGAGCAACGAAGCGTCAAAAACTCAAAATGTTGGTGCGTGAAACCTCAACTTATTACATTTGTTGGGTTTGATAGTAGTGAGTGAGTCAGTCTAGTTGATATTAGAGATAAAATATATTCTAACTATATTTCGGTATTGATTGGTATTTTGATATATACTGATTCTAATCCCGCAATTCTTAATATCAAATAACATTTGAAGTTGAATCTCATTCTCAATTCCAAAAAATAGTACGTATTCGGTAAATACCAAATATCAACAAATTCCATACGGTACTCGGTAATATCTCAAATATCGATACTAAACTTCCAGCCCTAGCATAATAATAAATGGCCTTGGGTTTGTTTAATTTATTAAGCGGTCAACAAGGAAAATTATGGGCTAGTTTTATATAAGAATGAAAATTTGAAGACTCAATTGATCTTTATAGGCTAAATTGCAAGTTTGGTTACTAGAATTACTTCAAAAGTTCACGTTTGTAACTAAAATTAATTTATTCTATCCATAGTTTCTTAAATTAGGTTAACAGTTCAAGTTTGGTCACTGGCCGTTAGTCTCCGTTAACTTTTGTTGATGTGGCGGTCAACTCTTATAGTTGACCATTAAATGAGCGACGTGGCAATTAAAAAATAATAAATATAATTATTTTTTATTTTCCACATAATTATTATGAAAAATTTTAAAAAATTCTAATTCCCTTAATTATTATTTTTCACCGCCAGACCGTCGTTGTTCCTCTCCACCGTCGCATGAATTCTTCCGCCGCCCAACCTCTTCTTATCACTCGCGTTTCTCCTGCTAATCACCAGTTCACCACCACCTCCACCTCATCATCATCGGCGGCTACGACTCCCCTCCGCCGCGTGTACTATTCCCTTTTCACTCTCCCACTCACTCACGCTTCTCTCAACCTCCATCCTTGAAAAACAACCAACCAAGTGAATTCAGAATACCCCACAAGGCCACAACCACCACCATGTCCTTTCTCTTCTCATTACTAGCATTTCTCCTCCTATTCACCACCGCCAAGCTACCTCTGACCCTCTGTTATGCTATGTAAACTGAGGTTTGAAATTAATTGATCTATGTTATTTTTAATAGGGATGCGATGGTTCAATGCGGATGGATGACACATATAATTACATGCTTAGGGAAAAGCTCTCCCTCTCCAACATCGATTCCCTTCAAATCATCCTCTATTTTTTTGTGTACTATGTTTTCGTTCTATTCGCCGAATCAGACGGGTGGGCCCAACTGGGAAGTGAAGTGTTGTGTGCTTTGGTTTGGGATCAAGATTCTGTACCTTGAGGCTCAAAACGAGGCCAAGGCTTATATAGTTTGGGGTTCTGCTTTTTAGGAGTTGTGGTGGAGTTTTGGGATTTGAAACAAAAGGGATGATAATAAGGAAAGGAAGGTCACGTGGGAAGGAGAAGAAGAGTTTGGGAATGGGCTCTTCGATGCAAAGCCAGCCTCTTGTAACAATATACTCTTTGTTTATTTATTGCCCCCCGATTACAACCTTTTTGTTGAATTAAATAGTCAATCCAAAACCCACTACTCCTAAAAATAAGCTAAGAAAGACAATCCCTCAACAATGCAATCCCCAAATATCCGCCCACTAACAACACGTAACATGAAGCTGGACCGTCTGGACAACAGCTTGACGGCGAGCCAAGCGAACGCCGACGCCATCATGCCGAGCCCTCAGGCCAACGCGACGATCCTGATCGACCTCTTAGCCAGCCTAGCTAGTACAACCTCTTGGTGAAGGACCTCGTGGCCCTCTCAAGCTCCCACTCCATCGGCAAAGGCCGGTGCTTTTCCATCCAATTCCGCCTCTTCGCCCGGTATGATGAAGGAAGTTAGCGGCGGAGACGATGAGGATGATGGACGGATTCATGGGACGGTGGAGAGGAACGACGAAGGTCTAGCGGTGAAAAATAATAATTAAGGAAATTAGGATTTTTTTAATTTTATAACAATTAGGTGGAAGATAAACCATAATTAATATTTTATTATTGTCATGTCACTCATTTAATGGTCAACTATAAGAGTTGACCGTCACATCAGCAAAAGTTAACGGAGACTAACGGCTAATGATCAAACTTGAACTGTTAACCTAATTTAAGTGACTACGGATGAAATAAATTACTTTAAGTGGCAACATGAACTTTTGATGTAATTCTAGTGACCAATCTTGCAATTTAGCCAATCTTTATATTATCATTATTTTTCATACATCGAGTGTTTTTCTTTGTTTTGTCATAAAATAATAAAAAAAATTTGCGTTTATATTCTTCAAATCATGTATGAGGATAGGTTAACACGTCCTACCACGCTTCATATTTGCGTGATTATTACCGAACCTAATCCGCACTCAGAACGAGTATAGATATTGAGATACCCGCCCTCCCCACCGTAGTCGTTTGCCATCCATAATCTTATATTATCTCAAACATTTAGCTGCATGTGATTTTCTTGTAACAGACCATACCATATACACGGTGCGGTCCGCACCGGATCAGACCATATAAACGGTTTGTGTTCCAGACCGAGAGGCTGAAAGTCTGGAACATAAATCATGGACCAAACTACGCCTGTGCGGTGCGGTCCAGTACGGTATGGACCAGGCAGACCATGTTCATAAAAATCCACTCTTATTCTGCTATCCAACCCTTCCCTGGTAGCTATAAAAAATAAATCTCAGTGACCAATATGTTAGAGAAACAAAAATTTAGTGAATCATAATTAAAATGGGAAGAAATATATGAGGAGTGAAGGGGGATTTTTCAATTTTCAAACTCTCTCTAGTCACCAAGGATCTTTCCAGTATCCATTAAAAAATAGCGACGTTTTCCTCTTCCTCATTATGCTATGAAGGTTGCGGCGGCGGTATACGCGGGCGAAGTAGAACAGGAGGCGCGTGCGAGAGCAGCGACCGCGGGCGACAAGCAACAACCACGACCAGCTGGGTCCAGCGACACCGCAGCGGACGGAGCTGAGCCTGCTGGATTTGTGGCGGCAGAGGGCGCCAGGGGCGAAGGCGTAGAGGAGCCGCTGCATCCACCAGGACTGGCCGACATGGCAGGCGATGGCCCGACTGTTGCTGGGTGTTGGGATGAAAATTTCATACCTAGGGTTACTAAATTGGTGAGCACCTCTTTTATGGATGATTGCGCTAAGCCTAATTTAAGATTTATGGTAATGGATGTTTATCATACTTGTCTTACGCGCTTTGTTGAATATATGCTGACCATAATGACTGATATATGTTCTAATTTTAGCACACATACATACGTGGTATCTTATAATATTATTTATTTATATTACATATATATACAAACCAGTTCCTAATTTATTTATATGACACTTAAAACACAACACTTATCCCCTAGGCATAGAGTACTTTCGTTTTATAGCACCAAATCAATCCTCCATCGATCATCAAAGCAAAGCAGCAACAAAGTCATTGATGCACAAATCAGAGCTCCCGCCTCCATCCAAAGCTTGCCTCGCCAATCCCTTCCAACTCTCCGCATTCACCTTCAGCTCAACCCTCCTCACCTCCATAACTTCCCTTATACACATCTCCACCGTCTCCCTCCTCACCGTCGCCTTCCCGTCCACCGCCACCCTCACCCCGACCTGCCACACGTCCTCCACGTACTTGGCGTTCGTGATCTGGTCCGTCCACTGTGGCACCGCCACCATCGGCACCCCTAAGCACATTGCCTCCACCTTACATACAATACGATGCACGTAAGATCAGAATCGTTCGAAATTCGACTCATAAAACCATTTTAACATTATATAGCACGACTCAATGTTCAGCTACATATGTGACATGACGAGAGAATAAAATTTTAAATGTTACCACAGAATTGAGCCCGCAGTGAGTGAGAAAGCAGCCCGTAGCGGGATGGGCCAGGACCTCCAGCTGCGGGGCCCAATTGACCACCAAGCCTTTCCCGCCGGCCCGGTTGAAGTTGGCGGGTAATTTGACTTCCTCGTCGGCTCGAACCACCCACAGGAAGTAGAAGTTGGTGTTTTCCAGCCCCCGAGCTACCTCTTCCATCTGCTCTTGGCTCACTTTGACCATGGAGCCGAAAGATGCGTACACGACGGACCCTTCCGGTTTGGTGCCTAGCCAGCTCATGCACTCGTCGGAGCTCGGCTCGAACAGATTGATAACGTAATCGGTGTCGTCTTCGAGCCTCCCGTCCAAATACTTGGACGGGAGGGTCGGGCCTATTGTGCCCACGCGCCACCGTCGCGCCATCCAATCCACCACCTTTTTGTATAAACAAATAATTAAATAGGGACAATTAATCAACTAGAGAAGTAATTAATTAAAAGTAAATCGTACCCCAACCTGTTTCTCCATCTCGTAGAAGCAGTCAAAGAGCACATAATCCGCCTGATCAACGTTCGTAAACTGGTCGACCACCATCTGGTAAATCGCGGGGTACGACCCGTAATCCGACACGTACGACGGTGTTTCGGAGGCTTTCAGTACGGGCAGCCCAGGGAGCGAGACCGTTGACTCGGTCAGCGGCAAGGGGAGGAGGCCCCTCTGGACATGGAAGTACACGGAGTTGACCGCACACGACTGAGTGAAGAACACGGCCCCTACGAGCCCCAAATCCTTGGCCACGTCGAGTGCCCAAGGCATGAAGCCGTCGTAAATGACAGCTGTGACCGGATCACGATCGTTGTGATCGTGATCCGAATCGATGCTCAGTCTCTGTATGAGGTGGGTCAGGGTTCGCGACCCGACGGCCCGAAAAGTGGCGACATAGTCCTCGTCGCTGGCGGCCTGGCCGAACCCTCCTTGATCGAATCCGTCCGAGAAGGATTCGACCGAGATAGTAGTTGAGGTTTGGTTGAGGTGCATGGATTTGGCGACGAAGACGGTGGTGGCTAGGGTGGCTTTGACTCCTCTGGAGATTAAGCGCTTGGAGAATTGGAGCATGGGGTTGATGTGGCCTTGTGCCGGATATGGAACCACTATGACATGTGGCCGTTTGCCTTTCCCGCTTTTAGTTGACCAACTTGCTCTCTCCATCTTTTCTTCTTCACTCTTTCTGCCTTCTCACATGTAGTGATTTGCCACCAAGCTCGAGGAGGAACTGTAACAAGATCAGCTAGCAAGCTAGTAAGTTTTTTTTTTTTTTAATATATAATGGTGAAAATGATTAACTATGAAAAGAAAACAGAAGGTACAAGAGAGTTCATAGCAACCTAGTAATGATGACTGTACTTCCTTATCTCTTTCGACATAGTTAACTATGTCCACGTCCAACTTCAATAAAAAGGATTATTTGGGTTTATCGGCTAAATCAAATCAATTGGTAATAGGTCCCATTGTGAAGACTTAGTCGAAGTTAAAATAAAGAGAACAAGTCATAGTTACTTTGTTGGATGTTATTCAACTCAATTCATATAAACAAATACTTATAAATAGTAGAGATAATTCCCTAAATACACATACAAGTAAAACAAATTTCTAAACTACCCATTTATAAAAAAATTTCCTAAAATACCTAAGTTTGGAATAGTTCGAGTTTGAGGAACTCGAACTACTAACCGGTTCGAGTGTAGTAGACTCGATCTAGTCGTAGATCGATGATATAAGTCTCGAACCATGTGGGGCTGAAGTGGTTCGAGTTTAGTGAACTCGAACCACTCCTTCGAAATTTCCAACAACCGTAACTTTGTGCTCGGTTATCCGATCGTAGCAAACTTTTTTTTCATTTCGCATAACTTTTTGAGGACTACAACTTTATAATAGAAATATTTTCAGAATATATGTCAAAATATGAAAATTAAAGATAATTTTACTCCAAAACCCCTTATATTTAAAAATATTCCTATTTTGAAAATTTATTCCTAGTAAATGTTGTAGTACTCCAAAAATTATGCAACAAAATTTTTTTTTTGCGACATTCGGATTGCGGAGCACAAAGTTATGATCCTCTAAAGTTTGACAAAATCGAAAAATTGCTCGTTTAAGGGTAACAAATGACGTTTTCTCGGGGCGAAGGTACGGGAAATTTTTTTATATATAGGGAATTCCTGCCAAAAGAGCAATATTTTTCCAAATGAGAAATTTTTGGATGGATATCTTCCGAGAAAACGTCATTTGCTACCCATAAACGAACAAATTTCTGAATTTGTCAAACTTTGGAGGATCATAACTTTGTGTTCCGCAATCCGAACGTCGCAAAGTTTTTTTTTTATTTTGCATAATGTTTTGAGTACTACAACATTTACAAGGAATAAATTTTCAAAATAGGAATATTTTTAAATATAAGGGGTTTTTGAGTAAATTTATCTTTAATTTTCACATTTTTACATATATTCTGAAAATATTTCTATTATAAAAGTTGTAGTCTTCGAAAAGTTATTCGAAATGAAAAAACATTTTGCTACGATCGGATAACCGAGCACAAAGTTAAGGTTGTTGGAAATTTCAAAGGAGAGCCCCACATGATTCCAGGCTTATATAATCGATCTACGACTAGATCGAGTCTCCTACACTCGAACCTGTTAGTAGTTCGAGTTCCTCAAGCTCGAACCACTCCAAACTTAGGTATTTTGGGAAATTTTTTTATAAGTGTGGTAGTTTAGGAATTTGTTTTACTTTTATGTGTATTTATGGAATTATTCTTAAATAGTAATGGCGGAAACGAAAAAATCCATAGGTTTTCATCGATTAATGAAGATTAATCTACGAGAGAGTGATATTATATGGCTACTCTTTATATTATGATTGTTGACGATAACTGATAGGCCTTACCACCTTTCTTATACCATTTTCTCACTATCGAGTATCGAATGTTGGAGTATGGGAACAATTGATTATAACGTAGGCAAGAGTGGTTTTGGGCCGTATGTGTGTGTTCCGAAGTGGGTCGATGTTGGCAAAAGACGAGTTGATTCAATACTCCCTTACAATTTAGTGCGTGAAGGTCACAAACATTCATATTGGGGAATAAGAAGTTAAAACACTAGGCACCTAAACCTTTGATGAAAATGTCACTCAATTGAAATTGAGTGCTAACCTTCCTGTGTATGATGCATTATTTTTTAGAAACCTTAGTGGATGGGCCAGTTGGACCGGGAAAACCAAAAACCAAAGCTTGATATGGATATGTATACTACAAAAGTCCTATTTGTCGCACCGGTCGATGTTTGCATTAGAATTTAAAACCATCGAAAGAGGAAAAACTTGCCATAATATTTTAAAAAGCCGACTGAATAGTTGCATATATTTTAAAAATCCCAGCTTCATGTCCATAACGTTGTTTAGTTTAAACTATTTTTTTTATGAAATTACAAAACCCTGCGAATACCTCACAGTAGATGTGGCAAATGGATTGATCCAAGGATTGGTTGATTGGATTGGTGGATCTATGGATCCAATGGATTGGTGGATTCATGGATGAGATCAAGTGGATTGGTGGACTATCCATGAATCCAAATGACATCCTCAACCAAGGACCAATATGTAAAATGTGAAAAGTTTAGGTACTAAAATGTCATAATGAAAAATTTTAGGTACCAAAACGTAATTTTTCGATGATATTTCGTATAAAAATTAAATTTTGGGTACCAAAATGTAAAATATAAAAAGTATAGGTACCAAACCGTAATTTGACATTTGGATCAAATAGATTGGATTAGGTGGATATTTTTAATAGGTTGATGGATTGGATTGATGGATTGGATTGAGAATTGTCACCTCTACCTCACAGTCCCATCGTCTTCCTCCTTGTGTATATTTTTTCCATGCTGCTAGTGCACTCAATTTGGTTGCTCTTTGTAATGGTGATTTGGACTATTGTGAGAGTATTTGTGGTGTACTAATGATTATCCGACCTAATATCACTTATGTTGTTAATATTCTTAGTCAGTTCGTGCATGCTCCCGCTTAACCCTACATGGAAGCTGCTATTTGTATTCTTTATAACCTCAAACAATCCCTCGAGCAAGCTAAGTCTCTATATTCATGCTGCTACTACACTCGATTAGATTGCTTATGTTGTGATGTTAGATCAGAATGGATGTGAGAGACTGAGAGTACTCATCGCTCCACCAGTGGTTTCTTTATTTATCGTGCTCAGATTTTATAACGTATTAAGAACCAAAAGATGGTTGCTCGATCTGCTGAAGCTGAATATCATGCCCGTAGCTTACCAATATTGTTACCTTGACCTCTCATGCGTACTAATGAAAAAATTGCTCAAAGAAAAAACAGACAGTCCAATTCGTCAACAGTTGACTATTAGATTAAAGTCAAGATTGGACAGTACGTACCCGTAGCTTACGAATATTGTTATCAACAACTAGTCAGTGGTTCAAGTGTCCCGACTTGATCCAATGCAACATCAATTTCTTGTATGTATCTATCAAGTTAGAGCGAATTTGGTTTTGCATGTCCTTCTTTTTTTGGGGTTAATTGCATGATTGGTCATTGAGATTACAAAAACGTTCATGTTTGGTCACTGGAAATATTTAAATCCAATCTTGATCACTCAAATTAGTTAAATGGTTCAAGTTTGGTCACTCTCCATTATCTTCCGTCAGTTTCCGCTAACACCGTCAGTTATTTGCCGACGTGGCTAACAGAAGTGCTGATTCACCCATTTTAAATTATAAAAAAATAAAACCCGACTCTTACAGTCAGCAAAACCCGCCACATTAGTTACCCACCCCAATCTGTGACCCAAGTACCCAACCCTTCCACTTCACCCTAATTCCTCAACTTCCTCCACCCTCCCCGCCGTCGGGTCCCCGCTGCTGTCGTCGTCTGCGGCTCCTTCTCCACGTCAATGGATCGCTGCGCATCGCGCCGCAACTCATCCGGCCCCACATCCGAGCCGGAATGGTTGATTCTGATTCGGTGCTGGTTCTACTTTCAGCGAGTGGAGAGGTCTAGGGGAGAGTTGGTGAGGTCGTGGCGAGCAATTGGGATTGTTGAGAGCGGTTAGGGTTTGGATATGGTGGGAATGGAGGCGAGAATGAACAAGGAAGTGAGTCTGGATCGGTCCAAAATGTGGACGTAGAGGTCGCCTAAGTACCAACAACAGCATTGCAAGGTCGCCGTCGTTTACTATCTCTGTCGGAATCGCCAGCTCGAGCATTCTCATTTCATTGAAGTGACCGCCTCTACCTCAGAGGTCTGCGTATGCATCTCTCATTTCCGGTGTTTTCTTCGCTCCCTTTGCTTTGAAAATTGATGAGCTTTTGTGTGTTGTGCATATGTGATTGAGAAGCTTAACGTGCCGAGAGGCATAGGAATGACTTTCATGTAGGTCGGATGAGTTGCGATGCGATGCGCGGCGATCGATTGAGGTGGAGAAGGAGCCTAGGATGGCGACAGCGGCAGGGACCCGACGGCGGCGAGGACGGAGGAAGTTGAGGAATTAGGGTGAAGTGGAAGGGTTTGGATACTTGGGTCACAGGTTGGGGTGGGTAACTAATGTGGCGGGTTTTGCTGACTATACGAGTTGGGTTTTATTTTTTTTTAATTTAAATTTGGTGAATAACTGACGGTGTTAATGAAAACTGACGGAAGGTAACGGAGAGTGACCAAACTTTAACCATTTAACTAATTTGAGTGATCAAAATTGGATTTAAATATTTCTAGTGACCAAATATGAACTTTTTTTATAATCTCAGTGACCAACCATGCAATTAACCCTCTCTTTTTGGTTTAAACTAACCCAATTGGCCTAAGGTTCGTGCACAAATTGTGCTGTGATATTGCTAATTCATGAAAGGTCACTTTAACAGAATGCCAATACTAGTGGAGGTCATTCTAATCGAATAGCAAAGACGTACAACATTCGTCTCCAAATTCAATTCGTATTAATAATTCGAATTGTCTATCAACTCTTGTACCTTGAAATTTGGACTTCACCATATACACTTATTATGATCACATCCCGACCAATATATTATTTGAAGCTCTCTTTCCAATCAAACCAAACTTGTCCCGAAAATAAACTTCAACTGAACAATGGCGGCCAACAAGAACCAATCTAGTTCCTCTCCCAAACCCAAATCTCGCTCCCAACCTTACTGCCTCGTCATACCTTATCCAACACAAGGCCACATCAACCCAATGCTCCAATTCTCCAAACGCCTCATCCCACGTGGCGTCCGAGTTGAAATCTCAGGTAATTCACTGAGTGTTCTTTCATTATCAATCTCTACTTATACAAGTGTGGTATCGATTGTGTCTAACTATCTAGAGGATTTACAGGGATGTGTTACTACAAATGTGGAACAGAAAGTAGGAGTGGCTGCAATTGAGGAACGGCAAAACAGAACAGGCCGTGTGACCCGTTCTATGCCTTATCACGCCCCCGCAAGTTGATGGTCGATGACCTTCAACTTGGACCTGAAGTGATGGAAGTGCTGTCGTGGAAGAGGCTTGGTTAGGAGGTCAGCAATCTGATCGTCGGTGGAGATGTAACGCACTTGAAGTTGGCCAGAAGCAACCCGTTCCCGTACGAAATGGAAGTCTATTTCCATGTGCTTACTACGAGAATGGAACACGGGGTTGGCGGTGAGATAAGTCGCACCGAGATTGTCACACCATATTTTGGGCGGCGATGGGAGATAGTAGCCAATCTCATGAAGGAGAGATTGTATCCAGATGATTTCTGCAGCGAGGGTAGCAAGGGCTTTGTATTCGGCCTCGGTGGATGAGCGGGCAACCGTTCGTTGTTTACGGGAGGACCAGGAAATGAGGTGGGAGCCGAGGTAGACAGCATAACCTGTTGTTGATCGTCGATCGGTTGGACTATTAGCCCACGCTGCGTCGGAGTATCCAAACAGAACGGGAGATGTGCTAGGACTGAAGAAGAGACCATGGGAGGTTGTGCCACGGAGATATCGCAAGATCCGTTTAACATCAGGCCAATGATGGTGTTGTGGTTGATGCATATGTTGAGCACAATAATTCACGGCGTGAGAGATGTCGGGCCGAGTGAATTGTAGGTACCCGTGGATTCGGGTTTTGTTGCCATTCCTAGTGGTGAGAAGGAGGAGGATGAGTTGTTTGGCGAGGAGGACGGAGTGGAGGTTTGCCGGCGATGGGATTCGCTAGGGGATGAACAAGGCAAGGAAGGTGTGTTTTGGGCCGGGGGTGGGTGGTTCGGGGTTTTGTGGGGTGGGTGGCAGGTAAGTTTGGAGAAGAGGAGATGGGGGCCCGATTGGATGGGGTAATGGGTTTAGAGGAGGAAGTGTCGGGGACAGGGACTGTGGGCGGGGAATTGGGCCGTGGTGGGGTTGATGGGATTGGGGTTGGATGTGGAGGTGAGTGGGCAGGCATATTTGTGGGAGGAAAGGCAAAGGAGAGAATGGGTGGAGTGGGTAGTGTAACATAGGTATTTGGGGTATTCATGTGAGTAATTGAGGGTGGGATGATGATGTTGCTGAACTTTGGATCCTGGAACGGGAAGCAAGACTCATCAAAAAGGACATGACGGGATACATGTATTTTGCGAGTGTGTAGATTGTAACACCGATAACCCTTATGAGTAGAGCTATAACCAAGGAAAACACAAGAGGAAGAGCGAGGTTGTAGTTTGTTGCGAGTGAGGGGACGGAGCCAAGGGTAGCACAGGTAACCAAATATACGAAGAATGGAGTAGTCAGGGGGAGTGGAATGAAGAGCCTCAAGGGGGTACGATTCGCGGGGAGTGGGGTGGGGAGGCGATTGATGAGGTAGACAGCCGTGTTAAAGGCATAAGACCAAAATTTGGTTGGAACAGAAGAATGGTGTAAAAGAGCTAAGCCAGTCTCGACAATGTGGTGATGTTTGCGTTCGGCGCAACCATTTTGTTCGGGGGTGTAGGGGCAGGATGAGCGGTGGATAATGCCATTCGATTGGAGATAGGCTCCGAGTTTTTGATATTCGTCACCCCAATCGGCTTGAAACATTTTAATGGGACAGTTGAAAAAATTTTCCACGTGGGTGCGGAATTGGATAAATATGGAGAGAAGATTGGATCGATAGCGGGTGGGAAAGAGCCATGTAAATTTACTATAGTGATCATAAAAGAGAATGTAGTAAAGATGACCATCAGTGGACAGTTCGGGAGAAGGACCCCAAACATCACTACAAATTAAGTCTAATGGACCTTGAGCATGAAATGTAGAATGGGGAAAAGGGAGTTTGTGAATTTTGGCTACGCTACAACCATGACAGAGGCTAGTGTCATTTTTATTAGAAGCAGACAAAGAGTTGAAATTGAGAACTTGGTGTAGGATGCGAGAATGTGGATGGCTTAATCGTTGATGCCAGTGGGAGAGCGTGGTGGAGAAAGCACGTGGTGATGTCGAAGCGAGAATGGAAAGTGGAATGGAGTAGAGTCCATCTTTACTCCGGCCTGGATGGAGGATGGTCTGGGAGCGAGTGTCCTTGATAATAAAAGTGTCATCAAAGAAAAGAATGGACAATGGGTTAGAACGAGTGAGGGTATTAATGGAGAGAAGATTATGTGTAGCAGAAGGAACATGAAGAATTTTGGAGAGCTGCAAAGGGCGAGAATGAAGGGATGCACGAGAGGAACCAGAGTGAGTGATAGGCAAAGTGTTACCATTGGCAAAGGTACTTCATCAGGGCCATTGTATTCCGAGTGTAGAGCAAGATTATTAAGGTCAGAAGTGAGATGGTAATTCGATCCCGAATCCAGGAGCCATTCTTGTGATGTGGGTGTGTTGGCAAGGTGGGTCGAGGGATGAGAACGAGGGGGGGGGGGGATGAGGGGTTGGGCAGTGGTGGGCTAGGTGACCTAAACCATGGCAATTGTAACACTGCATTGAGCTAGAACCTGCAAAAGAGAGTGATGGGTTAGATGTGGGCCGAGGCCCAAGTAGTCCTTGCTGAAAGTCGGTGGAGGAAGAGTGGCGGGCTGCTGATTGATGAAATTGGTGCCATGCTTGTGGATAAGGAGATGGACGACCATCCCTTTGCCCTCATCCATGGCCACCGCAGCGAGGAGAAGACCGCCTGCGGCCACCGCCACCGCGATGACCGGAATGACTATAATTTGTAGAGGGGGAGAGATCGCCAGCAAGAAGATGATGCTGACGGAGGCGCGCTTCTTCATTAAGGCGTAGACCATGAAATTCATCGAATGCGACAGGTTCTGGTCGGGCTTCAAGCACGCGCACAAATGGAAGAAACGACTCCCCAAGACCTTTGAGGCAGCGAGCAACAAGATCATCATCAAACACAGGGGAATTGAGAGCGGCCAGCCGATCGACGATGTCTTTGGCACGGGTGAGATATGTGTCGATGGAGTCCGAGCCACAAGTGAGGGTGTCGAATCGATCTTTGAGGTTACGGAGAGTGTGTTGATTGGCAGCTCCATATGTAGTGGCAAGTAGTGCCCAGGCATCAGCAGCTGAAGTACAGCCGACTAGCTTGGAGAGAACAACATCAGTAAGGGACCCAACGATCCAGCAGAGAACAAGTTGATCGCGTTTGTACCACGCAGCATACTCGGGGTTGGGAAGTCCGATGTCGAGGCGTTGAGATGGGACAGGAGAAGAGCCAGCAATAAATTGAGCGAGATCGAAGCTATGGAGGAGAGGTAGAAGTTGAAGTTTCCATAGGAGGTAGTTGGTGAGAGTGAGTTTGACAGAGACTTGAGGTGTGAAGGGAAGAGACATGGAGGTATTTCCAGATGGGGGAATAGATCCAGAATTGGTAGAAGTAGCAGAGGAGGAGGTGTCAGCCGACATGGCAAAAGGTAGGGGATAGATAGAAAAAGAAAATGGGTTATTGGATGCAGTTAAGAGAAGAGGGAAGATTGATTTGCCGTTTAGGCTTTAGGCTCTGATGCCATGAAATCTCAGGTAATTCACTGAGTGTTCTTTCATTATCAAACTCTACTTATACAAGTGTGGTATCGATTGTGTCTAACTATCTAGAGGATTTACAGGGATGTGTTGCTACAAATGTGGAACAGAAAGTAGGAGTGGCTGCAATTGAGGAACGACAAAACAGAATAGGCCGTGTGACCCATCCTATGCCTTATCACGAGTCACCCTCGTCAACACCCGCTTCATCTCCAAAACCGTCGCCAACTCCTCCTCCTACGCCATCCAACTCGCCACAATATCCGACGGCTTCGACGGCAATGGATCCGCCGCATCGGAAGCCACCAACGCCTACCTCTCCACCTTCCAGCGAGTCGGCTCCCAAACTCTCTCCCAACTCGTTGCCGACCTCAGCAAAACAGAGTGCCCTACCACCTTCATAATTAACGACCCTTTCGTCCCATGGTGCCTCGACGTAGCGAAACGTTTCGGGCTAACGAGGGGCGCGTTCTTCACTCAGTCGTGTGCTGTGGACAACATTGATTACCACGTTCGTGAAGGTTTGCTTCAGCTTCCAATTCTGGAGGCGCGAACTCTGATTCCAGGGCTGCCTCCCCTGCAGCCGAATGACATGTTGTCGTTCATTTCTGTCTATGGATCTTACCCATCGGCTTTTGAGATGCTCTTGGCACAATTCAACAACATCGATAGGGCCGATTGGGTTCTCTTCAACACTGTCTATGTAGGAACCCATTAATGCATCCTTCATCAATGGTCTGCCTCCATCAAGCCTGCAGGCACCATGTTGTCTAGCAGCCACCCATGCTGACCCATACAGCCCATGATGCTCTGTTCTAGCCCATGCTTTCAGCATAATTATCCTTGTTGTTTATTATTTCTTATAGTCTTTGCTTTCCTATATAAATAGAGTAGGAAACCTTTGTATCAATTCAAGCTTTCCATCAATAAAATCATCATACACAAATTCAACATGGTATCAGAGCTGGGGGAGGATGAGAACAAAAGGAGCAGCAACGGTGAGTACTCACAAGTCACAAATGGAAGGGTTTCTCACCTCTTGTCACACAATCAGGCCCAGTGGTCCAAGCAAAAATGGTGTAACAAAATGGAGGTCCCTTCAATAAGTTCATTTCCCTATGATACTTATGTCCAATTTTCAATTAGTGGCAAGTTTTACTTGCAGGCAAGTAGGCAAATCATCGCCAACAATGTCATGGCAGCGAAGACAGTTACGAACCATGTGTTGGTCGCCCTTCCGTAGCCAATGTTGGAGTAAAAAAAACCTTCTATATGCAATGTTTGTAAAGCCACGATGTGAGGTAGTCACGATCAGATCGTTCCCTTGACGTTCAGACGGTAGTACGATTCATGAAGAGATCGTCCTCTCAATGTTCAAAAGGCAGTCACGATCCAAGAAAAGATCGTCCCCTCAACTTCGCGAGGCACTCTCGATCACGTCGTTCCCTTAACGTTTTAGATGGTTGTACGATCCAAGAATAGATCATCCCTTCAGCGTTCAAAGGGTAGTCACAATCCAAGAAAAGATCGGCCCCTCGATGTTCATTATTGGGCAAAGATCAATTATTCATCACCTTTCAAGTTGGGCATTCACGGTGTTCATGCTCCAGCTTGAGGGGGAGAATAGGGAATCAACATAATTAGCACAGGTCAGTCGACCGGTTCAGTCATCAGATCGATCACAATGTCAAATGTGTCGATCTGTCTATCAAGTTGCTCGAAGAGACGCAATCCTCAGTCTCCAAATCAACCTTATCCAAGATATCATTCCTCTGTCACGGACTCACGGTCAAGCTTGACATTCTTGACATTCATGTCTTCGCTTGAGGGGGAGTGTAGGAAACCATTAATGCATTGATGGTTTCCAACTGTAAACCAACTTCAGCCTTCATCAATGGTCTGCCTCCATCAAGCCTACAGTCACCCATGTTGTCTAGCAGCCACCCATGCTGACCCATACAGCCCATGATGCTATGTTCTAGACCATGCTTCCAGCATGATTATCCTTGTTGTTTATTATTTCTTATAGTCTTTGCTTTCCTGTATAAATAGAGCAGGAAACCTTTGTATCAATTCAAGCTTTCCATCAATAAAATCATCATACACAAATTCAACAGTCTATGAACTGGAGCAAGAGGTGATCTGATTGATCACTAATTTTCTCATCGTGTTTGATTCTTTTCTCAAAGCTCGTCGTCTCTCTCTCAATGTCAATGGGTACTTTTCCTTACAGGCTGTCAAAGATCTGGCCATGAAAACCGTCGGCCCAACAATCCCATCCATGTACTTGGACAAGCAATTGTCAGACGACAAAGATTATGGGTTCAGCATCTTCAAGCCCAACAACAAACTCTGCTTGAATTGGCTGGACAACAAGCCCAAGAGCTCGGTCATTTACGTCTCTTTTGGTAGCATGGCACGTCTAGGCTCCGACCAAATGGAATAACTCTGTTACGGGCTGAAGAAGAGCGATCACTACTTCTTGTGGGTTGTTGCCTCTGAGGAGGCAAAGCTCCCTCCGAGTTTCGACCCATCCGATGAGAAGGGCCTAGTCGTTTCTTGGTACCTGTAGCTCAAGGTGTTGAACAATGAGTCTGTGGGTTGTTTCGTGACGCACTGCGGGTGGAACTCAACGCTGGAGGCACTGAGTTTGGGGGTGCCCATGGTGGAGATGCCTCAATGGACGGATCAAGGTACTAATGCTAAGTACATTGAGGATGTTTGGAAGATAGGGATGAGGGCCGATGCGGGAGAGGATGGGATTGTGAAGAGGGCAGTAGTGGAGAAGTGTTTGAGGGAAGTGATGGGAGGTAAGAAAGGCGAAGAGATGAAGAGGAATGCAAGCAATGGAAGAGAGTAATGAAGGAAGCTGCGAGTGAAGGTGGGAGCTCCAACAGGAACATCAACGAGTTTATCGATTCATTGATTAGAAAGGAACAATAAGTATGGGCGGGGAATTGATGATTTTGTTCAATTTTGTTGTGGGAAGAAGTCTTTGCATTGTTAACTTCAAGCGGTTGGTATCCAAAATATCACAAAAGTGTAATGTTCCATTTATGGGATTTATGTTTTCGCAACTTTTGATTTGTCCTTGTTGGGCCGAGTTGATGCGTTGGGCCCAGATGGCATGACCGAGACTGCTATGCACCCACCTACTACATCGCAACTCACATTGGTTCCTATGCCAACAAGGAGGCTTTTCCTAATGCTTATGTAACCCTAGATAATTGTTGTATAAGGTATAAAAGTGAAGAGATATAGCTTTTTGTCGTACTGTGAAATAACATAAGCATCTTCTCTGTGGACGTAAGTCTCATCACTCCGGTGAGCAAGAACCACGTTTAACCAAGTCTCCTTTACATTATCGCAATATTTTATAGGGTATCATAGCAGTAAGCTCCAGTCACCTTCACTATCCAGTTCGTCATGGCTTTAGATGACTAGACCAAAGCTTCCGGCAAGTCACAGGACTCTACCAGCGGATCTGAACCTGATCTCCCATGCGTGTATCAACTCAGCAAATCGGATGGCCCAGAAAATATAATGTTTGGCAGGGGCGTAGCCAGGATTTCGTCCAAGGTGGATCCATTTTTATTAAAATTTTAAAATCTATGATATAATTTTATATGTGAAAACTTTTGGTAAATAAAAATACATTAGTAGTCGAAACTATCAACAATATCTCTCTTTGCGTAGCAAACAATTATTCATGGCTTAGTTAGTCGATCGCTTTTGAATGGAGTTCTTGATCAAGAACCGTATAGTATCAAAAAATTCAAGTTGTTGAGAGAGATTTAATGATGCAGCTTATATCAAACTATTAGTCATGATTTAGTTAGTCGTTCGTTTTCCAATGATGATCTTTGTCAAGAATGGTTTAGTATCAATAACTCGACGATTTAGTTAGCAGTTCACTTTTAAATGGTGTTCTTTGTAAGCAATCATTAAGTATCAATAACTAGAGTTGTTAGGAGAGGTAAAATAATGGATTGTATACCATTTACTAGCAAGCCCTTTCAAAAGAAAGCTAACTTACATGGACTTGAAGTTTGTACAAATCTAAATATCACATGTTTAACAAGTGAGGTCATCGATATTAGAAGTTAGAACTTAGAACACAAGACTTATCAATCGACCATTCTCAATTGGATGCACACTAATTTTCATCATCAATTAACTATTATACCTAATT